ACATTTTAAGTCACAAGAGTCATCTATTTTATGACTGTGCCTGAAGGAAATTAGTATAGGAAGAGCAGAATATGAACTTAAGTAACAATGCAAAAATTAATAAGTCTTTGAAAGCTCTAAGAAATTATATCCCCAAAGACATTTCTAACAGATCCTGGCCAAATGCTGCTAAGCCACTGTCCACAGCAATGTTCCACGTGTCTCTGGGTATTTACTTTCCAACTTTGGGTGAACCTGGCTCAGGCAATATTCCTCTGGAGATTTCAAAATGCTATCGACAGACAGAGCAGTTCAGAAAACTGCCTACTCTGTGCCCTTCCAGTTTTCTGAAGAGTAAGAGGGAAAATAGCGTAGCCTGTAGTGGTATTAGGTTAGCTTTCAAAAAAATCTGCGATGAAGAAGGACAAAGAGAACCAAAGACAGGCACTTAACAGTCCAAAATGGACTATTATCAAGATCCTGGGTGTGTAGAGTAGATAGGTAATAAAATCAATGACCTACAGGATCATAACTGGTACCAGGTAACACTACTGAAACAGATAGGTGAGAGCAGAAGACAAACATTTTACGCTTTACATTTTATATATAGGTCTAAGATCCATTTTCTTTTTCTTTTTTTATTTCAGCATATTACGGGAGTACAAATGTTTAGGTTACACATATTGCCTTTGCCCCACCGGAGTCTGAACTTCAAGTGTGTCCATCCCCCAGATGGTGCACACCACACCCATTAGGTGTGTGTATACCCATCCCCTCCTCCCCACACCCGTCTGCCTGACACCCGATGAATGTTACTACTATATGTGCACATAAGTGTTGATCAGTTTGAATTAAACTTGTACAAGGTGTGTTTTATAGATGGAAGGGGTGTGTGTGTGTGTGTATGTGTGTGTGTGTGTGTGTGTATGTGTGTGTGTGTTTGGTACGAAGGAAGGTCTAATTCTTCCACCTTCATGTTGAAAAGACTATCTTTTTCCCACTGAATTGCCTACAGACCTTTAATGAAAACTAGTTGATCATATACGTGCAGGTTACTTCTGGACTCTCTATTCTGGTACATTGATCTATTTTTATATCTTTATGAAAATACCAAACCATTTTGAACACAGATGTTTTATAATATACCTTGAATTAAGGCAGTTTAAGTTCTCTAAGTTTATTCTTTTTTTTTTTTATTTCAGCAAATTATGGGTGTACAGATGTTTAGGTTATGCGTGTTGCCCTTGGTTCCCCC